GGCCCTGTCGGGCGCCCTTTAAGTGCCGCTAAAAAAGCGGGAAAAGGGAAAAAACCACGGAGATCCCTCGCTGCCTCCTCCAGCCAGCGCACAGGGAACAGCGAGAGCAGCAGCGCTGGTCGGTGCAAGCCTCTGTGAGCGGCTAAAGATCCGTCCTTCCCACCCCGATCTGGAAACTGCCTTATTCAGTGTTAATCTAGACCCCCCCAAAAAAAGAAAAAAGCCCAAGCGAGTCTCCTTGCACAGTGCTCCTCCGCACGGATGCTTGTGCCAGCGCACAGGGAGGTGGGAACAGCAGCAAGGACGGGACAAGACTGTTCCTTTCAGGGTCTTCAAGCATCAGGAAAAAGTACAAAATAGTAACGCTGGACGTATTTGCTGACAAGCCCGGCAGAAAAACTGTCCTGAAGTGAGATCAGCGGAGTGGGGCACAGCAAAGCCCGTTAACTCTCCGTGCCAAGACTTGGGTTTCCTCGTGAAATCTTTCACATAAATAACATGACCCGCTTTTCTGTTTCAAGTAGAGCTCATGGTTTGTTTTATTCGGTGAATGTAACTGAAAAATCATGACTTGGTTCCTGCTAGACTCTGAATCTTGCAAAATGTAGTAAAGCTGGATTAATTGGGTGGGTGGGAATCCCCCTAAAGGTGTTGGCAGAGCAAGGATGATAAACGGCAGAGAGAATCCGAGCTGTAGAAGTCAGATGAGGACTCACGAGGTGCCGAAACAGTAAAAATGGCACAAAATGCAAAAGCACCCTCGAGACTTCATCACAGAACAGCACAGAAAACCGGCAGCAGCCCGTCCGAGGTCGTCAGAGTCGTTTTGGCGTTCAGGGCAGCTCCGTTGGCGCTGGCCACACGTTGGCTGTAGTGACCACGCCTCCGTCGGTTGAATTTTGCGATGAAGAATGCACGATCGTCCGTGGGATTTTAGAGGGGAGGGCGGTGCAGGCAAGGCTCTGATCCTTTCAAGGCTCCGTAAAACATAGCTGCTTTCAACAGAAAGAATAGCAACGTTGCCCTCTGGCTTTGGTATGATGCTGGAAAAGTGTTCCTTCTGTAAAAAAGGGGTAAGAAGTTTTGGCTTTTATGTTTTCCCTGTGTGGTTATAGACACTGTCAGTAAATCCAGCATAGCTTAAGGGAGAGTAAGAGGCATTCGCTCTAGAGCTAGTGTTTGGGTTTGATCGTTCTAGTTTCTATTAAATCTGTCTCTTTGTTGCTCATCTCCTCATTTCAGGCTTTATTTCTCTTTCAGGAGTGTATCAAACCTGTAAAAGTGGAAAAAAAGCCTGGCAAAGCAGCAGCTAAGATCAGAATTGAATCGGATGGAAGCTATTTTCAGATCAACCAGGTATGTGTGATTTATCTTCGTTGTTGTGTAAACTATCCAGAAACCATGTGTGTATTGGGAAGTGTTTGATTAGTCTATAGCTTTTCACTGCCTCAGAGGGGACCAAGATATTAGAAAAGTGGTGTTATTGCTGTCAGCATTCTCTTATCTTTTTTCCAAAGTCCAGCTTCTTAATTACCCGGTGATTGATTTTGTGTCAGTCATTTATTCTCTGAGACACTGACGTTAATTAGTGATGGTTTTCAGTGTAAGAGCAGATAAGCTGAGAAGTCTATTTTGCCATCGATGCTTAAGTATTAGCAATTGCTAGATTATTTGTGACAATGTCTTTCCTTATTGCCATACAGCAGAGCGCTTGCTCACAGAGATTCAGTTGGATACTCTTTAATTTTGCTCTGATTTTTTTAAATAATATTTCAAATTATTTTTTAAATAGCCTGCAGAATTTATAAGCCTCCTGCTTCCAAAATTAACGCTGAGTTTTGCAGGAGGATTTTCCTGTTTACACAGAGGAGGTTGGCATTTCTTAGTTAACCGAGCTGGGAATTCATCTGGAAATGGTACTGTTAACTTTAGGCAGGTGATGACCTTTTGCCTTAAAAAAGGGGGATACAGCACTTCCAAAGGAGTCTGGTTTCTTATTTTAAAATTTTAATTTGATAGTGCCTAATTGCTCGGTCTACTTCTGACTTTATTGAGATGTGACGTTTGAGAGTCTCGGGGGAAAACGGACTTATTCAGGTCAAATATTATGGAAAATATTTCCTTCCCGTGGCGAGCCACGCACTCGCTTTGATACGCTGCCACAGTTTTCCTGTCAGCATCCGTGGAAGTTTTGCACACAGAAAGGTTGCAGAACACCCAGCATCGATTAAAAACGGCAGCGAGCTTGTCGTCTGCTTGCACAGCCCGTTCAGGAGTGGAATCCAAGCTCCTGTGAAGGAACAGCTCGAGGTGACAAAGCTGGCATGCTTTCTCCAGGGTGGTAGTCGGTGCTTAGAGGCTTAGGATCTCTCTGGTCTGCAGTTCCGTGGCTGAAAGGGCAGCTGCCATCCCCAGCGTGCTAGCCCGGTCTCCAGCCACCCACGAGCTGCAAATCCCTGTTTGCTCTGGGATCGTGGAATTTCGGTGGTTTGGAGCAACGTTAGCCCACCAGATAGCCCAAAGAATGGCTGTCAGCAAGTATTCTGTACTTGATGCAGGTTATGGTCTTGGGCTTGCTAAAATATTCCTGAAGGTCCTCAGCCTGTTTGCATCTGTGTGCCAAATAAGCCTAGTAAAAGCAGCAAACTTCCAAAATCCTTGTTTTCCTCCTCATCTTACTAAAAATAGGAGATTTTTTTTTTAATGACAAACCAAGAGCATAAAAAGGGCAACATCTGTGTTGCTTAATGTGGTAAAGGTGGGAGAATGCTACCGAACTCTGCCCTGGGATCAGAACTGAGTCTCGTCTGTTTCTTCATAGGATGGAGGAGCGCAAAAACTGGAAAAGGCTAAAATTACCCTAAACGACTGCTTAGCTTGTAGCGGCTGCATCACATCGGCAGAGAGTGTTTTAATCACTCAACAGAGCCACGAAGAGCTCTGCAAAACACTGGCTTTCAACAAGGTAGGTGCCAGGTCATGGCTGGGGGCGGGCTGCAGGGTTTGGAAGCCTCATGGGTCGGTACGATGCGTCTGCAGAGGGCTGCGTGGAGGCGGCACGCGTGACGACGAGTTTCAGAGCTCTGGGCGCTCTGAGGACGCTCTCAGCGCGCGGTTGTGGGTTTTCTGGGTTTTAAAAAGGAGTCCTGGCTGTGGAAAGGACCTTTCCTGGAGTAAGTTACTGACTTCAGAGTCAAGCTGGGAGATGCTTTCCGATGCTCTCACACGCGCTGACAGTTCTGCGTGCGCCTTGTTCATATTCCCTGAGCGGTGGGCGTGTTGGGTTGGTTTTTTTCCAGACTGCCGCTCCCAGTGAACAGAAATTGGTGGTGGTTTCTGTTTCACCACAATCCAGAGCTTCCCTGGCTGCAGGATGTAAAATGGGTGTTCTGGAAACAGCGAAGAGGTTGACCGCGTTCCTGAAGAATTTAGGCAAGTGTGGCATTGCGCTCTGTTCATCGCCGAGGGGGCTGCTGGGGGGTCTGGGCAGCTTAACTGCTGTGAGCCCACAGGGTTGGTGGGATTTGACCTCCCCGTGGACTCATAAGGCGTTGGCATTAGCTGAAATGCAAACTGTCTGCGGCTTCAGTCGCGTCATAAACTCAGAGTGACTGGAAGGAAGGAGCTTTAAAGCTCAGAGTCGCGGCCCTCCTGTCCCTGCTGCTCCCCTCACCCCGCCGACACGCTGGGGGAGAAGGTTCACTCTCAAACAATTCCATCTCAGTGGGATCCGCTTTGACTGGAGGCTTTTTGTTGTAGTTTGCTGTATCTCCCCTGGGGATTTTTAACGCGGATGCTGTACTTACGGCCTAGGTGTGCACTATGTTTTTGATACAACTTTCTCGAGGAACTTCAGCCTGTTGGAGAGCCAGCGAGAGTTTGTGAAACGCTTCCGAAAGCAGTCTGAGGACAAAAAGGCTTTGCCGATGCTAGCTTCTGCCTGTCCAGGTGCGGTGTTCAATTGGTCATGGAAATAACCGAATGCTGCAGGGAGGCTGAAAATGGTTGTTAATGGGGACTAAGCCTGGGGTTCTGGGGAGGGCGGGCAGAGCGAAGGGCGGCTCGTTGGTTTTTCATTTCTTTTGCTGGTTACGCCCTTCTCAGGTTGGATCTGCTATGCAGAGAAAACCCACGGCAGCTTCATCATTCCCTATATCAGTACCACCAAGTCTCCCCAGCAGGTCATGGGCTCCTTGGTCAAGGGCTATTTTGCAGAACAGCAGGTAAGGGGCTGAAGGACGCTGTGCTTAGTGGCAAGCTGCTAACACCGAAGGCTTTAAGCTGATCTATTTTCAATTTGCTACTTGTTAAACGTAAGCATTTAAAGGTAAAAATCATCCTGCAGAAACCAGCAAAGGCAGCATCTTTGTCACTTCGTTTCTATCTCATGAGAAGTTAGCGACTAGGGCAGTTGCACTCAGCTGTGTGTTACTGGGGAAGGCCAGAGAAACTCTTTTTTCCATGTCTTTGTGCTTCCGTCTCATCTGTGTGTGGTATTTTCATGGTGTTTAAAGTTGGTGAATAACATAAAACAAATTATCCCGAGGCAAAACTTCAGTCAGTGCATACGTGCAGATCATGTCTTGTCTAAAAATGACTTGCTTGTTCCCAGCTTCGTGCTCTGCTCCAGTTTGAGTTAGTTCTGTTCTCAGTGTTTAACCTTTGGAACCTTTCCAAATGTAAAATTGATATTTAAAGACTAGAGTTGCACTAATGGCCTAGATTTGTCCAGTAAGAAACTTAAGCACCACTTCTGATCGTCTGATTTATTGTCCGTTAATGAGCAGCGGTTTAACACTTGCATTAAGTAAATGCTGACATCTGCATACTTGTTCCCGAAATTGGCAGCTACTAAGAATATTTGGCACAAGATACTGAAACAACGGCCTTGAGTCAATGACTTGTTTCCTCGGCCTGTGCTTATTTCTTGGATGGTCATGAGGTTTCTGTCCGACTCCAGATTTTTTCCTCAGTTGTTGCTGCTGCAGGGGCTGGGTTTTAGTAGCGCGGAGGAAGAATATTCTGTAACTGCATACTTGGGAATTCACTTCACTGACTGACTTTGTCTGGATCATCTGCCCTAGCAAAAGGAGGTGGGGGGAAGCCGGTAAAAGACCGTACAGCTGACACTGCAACCTACAGTTCAAGGAGAGAAGTAATTTAATGTATATATAAGTGTGTGTATATATAGAAAAAACATGTTCAGTCCCAGTGGGGAGTATTTCTAGAGGCGTGGTGGCGTTAGTTCCCTCATTCCCACTGGAATGGGAAAACCTCTCTCTCCAGATAGCTTTGAGGTCGGCCGAGCCAACTGCACAGCTTTGTCTTTCTTCCAGCGCTTAACCCCTGACCAGATATACCACGTCACCGTGATGCCCTGTTACGACAAAAAGCTGGAGGCTTCAAGGCCAGACTTTTTCAACCAAGAGTACCAGACTCGTGATGTGGACTGTGTGATCACCACGGGTAAGCAGGGCAGAGGTAGTCCAGCTAATTGCCGGTTTGAGAAACCCTTTCCCTCTGATAGCCGATGTAGTGGGGGGGGGGTTGCTGTACAATTACACTGCAATAACGCAAACCATGTCCTGGTAAACATTGCAGATGCAGTCTGCGTACTGCTCTGTGGGTTTCCCTTGATCCCCCAAAGAAGAACTTCTTGTGTCGTGGTTCTGTTTTAGGAGAAGTGCTAAAATTATTGGAACAAGAAGGAGTCTCTCTGTCAGAGGTAGATCCCGCTCCGCTGGATACCATGTAAGATCAAAACCTCATTTGCATCTTCCGCCGTGTTCCTTTTCATCCAGTATTTGTAGAGGCCTTCAGCAGAATTTGCCTTTCCACTGCTGTTCTACGCCAGGCTGCACGTGCTTGCATTTGATTTGTTTCCTTGCATCACTTGAGTCAGTAAAATTGTGCGTTTAAATACTTAATCTACAGAATATGATGAATTTCCACTGTTGGAGAATCTGTAGCTGTTTGTTCTAGATTTTAGTAGTCCAAGGATGAGCAGCTCTGGCTGTAAATCATCAGGACTGCTAAATTAGCTCAGTAAGGGTGTAATGGCAAAATGATTGTGCAGAGAAGTACAAAATACATCCCAGTCATTTACTTCAGTTACTGTTCCTCAGCGTTTAGCTGGTGGAATCTCACAGAAATCTACCTGCAAACTTTGAAAAGTGGAAGAATCAAGAGCAGTGATAAAAGAGTTTGCTAAACCAAAACCTGTTCCTGCACCGAACTCCGTTTGCTTGTCTCTGCTCCTCGTTATCAGAGCTACTGTAAGGATTCCAGAATGAAAGCATCAGTAAGAAATATTTAGGTCACTCAGCTAACCCGTGGGAGTCTTTGTGCAAAAGTGAGATCTAAAACACGTGCAAACCAGACGAGACTTTAGTTGCTTCAACTGAGAAGTAACATCTGGGTGAGTGACGACTGCACAGAGATCTGAGTGACTGTGGGAGCATGAAAATCACATTCTCCTCGTCCAAACTGACGCGCAGCGGTGGTTCCCCGCAGAACGCTGAACCGGAGGATTCTCTTCTTCAGTTGAAGCAGCACTTTGCCCATTAATGAACACAAAGGCTGCGTGTGCAGCAACCTTCAAGCATTCTAGAAGATGATTACGGACAGGATTCAACCATTTACTGCTCGGGCTCTTGCAGTTTTTAGGAGAGATTTCGATACCCCAGATCCGCAGCGTCGAGCACGTGGTGGGGGCGTGACACCGGTCTGTTTCCAGCTGCGCCCCTCGCGGACCTGAGGCTCGTTTTGAAGTTTGGGTTGTTTCCAAAGAGGCTTCACGTCTTTCTAGCACAGCCTTTGCTCGAGCACGGTCTGATCAGCACGAGCACGTCGAGGGCTGTGCAGGGAAGTGTCCTGGCATGCAGCCTGTTTCCTCGGGGAGGTTCCCTCGTTAGGAAAACGGGCTACTCCTGTGCTGCTGGAAAGGAGGATGGGAGAGAGAGACCGGCTGTTGCTGTCCAGTCCCTTTCATGTAAGGGACACTTAATTTAAAAAGAAGATTTACAATAATGTGCCTGCCCAGAGCCTCCATTTCCTTCTGCCACATGTCGGTGGATCGGTAGGTGTAGGTGGGTGTGTAGGTGTCTCATAACACATTTACTAGCACAGACCTATTTGTGCACGCTTTTTACAGGGCTAAGTGTCTTTTTTTCTGACATAGTGCATGCACAGATCGCTCTCCCATCGAAAAAGTATCCTCAGCTGTAATAAAGGGCTGCATGGGGGGAAGCACAACTTCAGAAGCTCCCCCTGTAAACTGGTACTTCTGTCCTACCTGCTTTAGCATTACACCACTGACAGAAAACGGAGGAGAAGGAAAGATTCCGCAGCGTCTGCGTTCTCTTGGGAAACGGCCCTGCGAGGGTGTCAGTTATGGCAGAGAACTGGGCGTCTAATGACTTGATAAAAATCTCTGGCCGACTTCTTAGGAGTACGTTCTGAGCACCAGGCCTCACGCTCGTGGCGATCAAGCGCCTCTGTAACCTTTTGCGAGCTTGAAGGTACTCGGTAACCTCGCGGGTTACGAGCGGCACGTCTGCCTCAGCGCTGGGAGCCTCCGCGCAAGCGGTCCGGGGGCTGTGGTTCTGCTTCGACCCCCCAGCACGTGGAAAAGCCCATTAAGAGGTTATTGCGTTTGGCAGCAAGAGCGAGCTCCAGTGCCAGAAGTCCCAGGACTTTTGCTGGTAGAACCCTTTTGCCGGAGCCTGCTGGCAGCCTCGGTTTAAGGGAGTAGCAGTACGTGAGGCCAGACACACCGAGACAGTTTGTTAATGAAGCTCAGTTCCTGTAAACAAGAGAGAATTAAAAATAGTTTCTGAGGGCGATGGCGGGCTAAAGGGTTGCCTTCTGCAGCGCTTCCAAAGCGGAGATTTTATCTGCAGGAGGCCACATCTTCGATTGGACTTGAAACTGTTTGGCCTGAATTCAAGTGTTTTCCCTTCTGCAGCTGTGGGTAGGAGAAGGCGAGTGTCACTGCCTGACGAGCGCTCGCCAGCAGATCCCTCGCCTTGTTGTTCTCTCCTAACAAAAGCTATTGTTGTGGCTTCCATCTGGTGAGCGATTCTCAAGCAGCAGCATCTTGACCTCCGAAGAGCTGGTTGTGTTTTGGCGTGTCAGTGGGATGGAATTCCGGGCGCAGAGCTGGAGTTAACGTCGCTGTTCAGCACCGAAAGGGTGTTGGACCGGGATCCCACCAGCAGCCGCCCTGGCATCCTTCGGTTTGCTCGCCTTTGTGAGACAACACCAAGCGCCTGAAGCCCCAGCAACACGGGTTCCGTCTCTCCATGCTTGCCATGGTAGCCCTGATACCTCCCAGAAGTCTCCTCTGACGCCCCAGCAACCACATCGAAAGCACCTGCTTTCAAGCAGCGCGTTGTAACGCAGAGCTGGAGCTTTCCATAACGCCCTCGGGTTTTTCCTGCTGCTGCAGAACAGCCTCAGCACCGCTGAGAGGGGGGCTCTCGCTCGGTGGGTCCTCCGAGAGGCGCGGGTTGCACAGACCCATCGCGCCCCTGCTGCGTTGTCTCCCTCCTCCCATGTCTAAGCGTAACCCAGGGCGTTTGTCGAGGGGCTAAGCGGGCAGCTGACAGAACAGGCAGGTCGGGTCGTTGCCCTTGTAACTCAAACGTCCCCAAACACACTCCTGGTAGGGGCAGCGCGTGGGTCAGGCCTCGTGGCCTGTGACAGCTTGACCCAGGGGACGCCAGGCGGCCCAGGGTTAAATCTGCCGGACTCTGAAGCTATAAATAGGTGGTTCCCAGGAGAAAGGGAGAAGCGAGGAGCTCGAAGGGAGCTGGGCTGGGGCTTGTTCTGTCGCTTTTGAGTCCCCGGGAGCTTTGGGTTTGTGCTGGCGGTTCTGTTTTATCGACGATTCCCCCCAAACCGTTTCCTTCTCCCTCCCTTTCCCCCAGGTTTGGCAGCGCAGCCGACGAGGGGCTCACGAGCCACTCCGGAGGTGGTTCTGGTGGCTACCTGGAGCACATATACAAGCACGCGGCCAAGGAGCTCTTTGGAATTCAAGTGGACGCCGTTCAGTACAAACCCTTAAAGTAAGAGGTTTGCAGTCCTACAGAAAGCTCCAGTTTTACGGCAGGTCTGTTCGTGCCGTTCTCTTGCTGATGGGCTGGAACTTTCTTTGCAATGTTAAACATTTTACTTCAAGGCCTGGGAATTGGCTTCTCACTCCCACAGTTGCCGAGCAATAAATCAGCCAGCGCTCCGTGCAGCCTTTCCCTTGGAGACTTCGAGCCCCTTCGCCACCCACACGCTTTATTTTGGCCTGATGGATTTTCCCACTCTCAAGTTGCAGACAATTTTTAGAGTCGTTTAGAAGACTGAGCTCACGTGGATCTGCGCTTCCTCACCTGCAGTCAGAGCAGTAAAGCAGATTGTCCGTTCTGTAACGAATCTCGTTGCCAGGGCTTTGGGGCTCTGTTTTAACAGAGCAAGATGGGAAACAAGTCACTCGAGTTCGGGCAGGGAGGCTCGTTCAGCTGTGACTCCTGCCAGGTTCCCAGTTACAACATTAAGGTACCATTTGTAATGAATGACATCCCGGATCGGCAATATTTATGTTTGGGATTCACTGGTCTGGGAAGGAAGAGGCAGTCCCCCTGGGTCTCAATATGAAATACTTGATAAAAATGAAGTTCCTTATTCTTTTATCAGGAACAGATATTTCCTTAGGGGTCTGGAAGCCTTCACTAATGGTTTGCTCTCTGGTTTTACAACTTAAAAAGTTTCCTCAGGGGCCTCACTAACGCCTAAGTTGGCTGAAGCCATCCCAGGCGGCTTACGACGGTGAAGCTTTGGTGCAGGCTCCATTTGCCGAGCTTTTAAGGATTTATTCCACACGGGTGCTCTTCAGCAGCCTCAGTTCGGGTGGCAGGTCCTCAAGCAAGCCTGGAGAAGGATCTGTGAGCCAGTTCCTTCTGGTGGCAAAGAACTAGGCCAGCTTTCCTGAAGAAGCTTGCGCGGAGGACTTTGTTTTCGCGCGGGGCCCTTTGAAGTTGAAAATAGAAATTGATTTGGATGAGACGTTTTCTCTGCTCTTGTGCCTCAGAAACAAGGACTTCCAGGAGGTGACGCTGGAGAAGGATGGCGTAGTCCTGCTCCACTTTGCTTTGGCATACGGGTTTCGAAACATTCAGAACTTGGTGCAGAAGCTGAAACGAGGCAAATCGCCGTATCACTACGTTGAAGTCATGGCCTGCCCGTCAGGTGAGCCTGCACGGGGGTTTCAGGGTTGCCATCTGTAGCTGCCAGCAGCTGGGTGAAGCTGTAGCTACAATAGCTTATTGCCTGTAAGTGACAGGCAGTTTCTCACACCCTGAATGCTCTGGCAAAGCCTTCAGGCTCCTGAGGTGCGATAGTCACAGCATCAGAATTTCAGAGGTGTTTGTGTGTGTATTTTCCTGCCTGGAAGCTAGTAATTCCTCAGGATTTGAGGAACTACAGTTAAATTCCATTGCAGAAAATCTACATAGTTGTGCTTTCAAGGAGGTCCTCCTGGTTTTCTGAACTTTTTGGCACATGAGGAGATTCTCCCTCTCAAATTGCACAAAACCGACCATTATGCCTCAAGAGAACGCTATGACTGGTGAGGAAAGGCCCTTTCTACCCATTTTCTTCCCTTTCCTGCTTTGTGCAAGCCCCCCTTTCTCTCCCTCCTGGTTCTCTTTGAACCTGCTAGCAGGGAACAGGGGCAGCTGGCACCCAGCCTGACGTGACCCTGAGCCACTGCCCTGTCCCCGAGGCTCTACACAACCCCCAGCCCACAAGGCTGCTCAGCACCAGGACGCCGCTTTGGGCGGCCCCACGCCGCATAGCTCGACTCGTGACACCCCCCACCCACACCAAAGCACCCCCCAAACACCCCCCCAGGCGCATTTATCTCACCTTCCACTGAGACGCCGAGGCTGCTCCCGCCTGGATTGCGTTCTGGCCCTGGGCTGGGGGCAGGGGCTGAGAGCCAGAGCTCCCCACTGCCGCTCGCCTCCGTCTGGCAGCCCCCTCCCAGCGGGCTGAGTCGGCCCCGGGGCACCCCAGGGCGAGGAGCTCCCCCATAGGGCTGCCAGCCGCCCTGCTGGTGATAGATAACTGGGGAGTAACCCCCCATTTATAACGGTGTTCGTTGCTGTAACTGCCTGCAGATGTGGAGTAAATTAACTGTGTTTGTTGGGGGTTTTTTTTTAAAGCTGAAGCGCTCTCTCAGCTCACTGACGCGTTCTCTCTGGGCACACAGGCTGTTTGAACGGAGGCGGTCAGCTCCAAGGAGATGGCGAATCCGGCAAGGAGCAGCTGCAGCGAGCTGAGAGGTTGTACGAGTCTCTGAAGGCTGAAATTCCGGAGGAGAACCAGACTGTGCGTGCCCTGTACGAGCAGTGGCTGGGTGGCGCGGGGTCAGGGAAGGCCGCGGGAGCCCTGCACACGGGGTACCGCGCGGTGGAGAAGGCGAGCGCTGGCTTTAACATCAAGTGGTGACGTGGGGAAGCCCAGCTGCCCGCCCTCGGGGCCTTTTTTTAACTCGATGGCACTTCGGGCTCTCCAAAGAGAGCTGAAGTTCTGCCCCGCCGCTGGGGGGCCGCAGGGTCTGCCTCCCTTTAGGGACGAGACCGTCCCGTGCGTAGAGGCAGGCGGGAGCGATTCCTGCGGCTTTCCAGCTCTGGAAGGGATGCAGATGAAAACCAAGCGCTCACTGAAAACACAAGTCAAAAGCAGCAGCAAAGCAGCCAGCCCCCTGCTCAGGACTAACTCCCCCTTCGCAGCCCTTTTCCTCCCCGAACTGCTGAGGTTGGGGTAAGGATTGGGCCTGCGGCCTCCCCGAGCGGAGCGTTGCGCCGCGGGGCGGGGTGACTGGCCCAGGCCCCGCTGGGGTTTCACGGCACTGGGGTTCAGCGCTGTCCTCGGGTCGTTACCGAGGGGCTGCTGAGACCTTGGGTTGGGTTTGTCCCCGTCCCTGCCCCGGCCTGGCTGCCCTTGAGGCCCTGTCAGCGGGGCGGGGGGTACCGGCAGCCTGGGGTCACTGAGCAGCAGCATCCCAGGGCCAAAATGTGACGTGAATGAATGTTTAAGGTTAAAAAACCTGGAGTGATTTCATTTTTTTTTCCTTTACTTACAACAATTGTCTATAACTGTGGGCAATTACAGCTCTTGCTTTCCCTAAACACACGGTGGAGTCACAGCGTTGTCACACCTGCACCGTCCTCAGCAGCCCCTTCCTGACGGATAATACAGAGAAAACACCATTTTTTACAGTGTTTCAAGTAAGAATTTATTGCCAGCTCGCTTGCCAACGAAGGGCAAAGCCCTTGGTGTCTCTGAAGGTGTGACTTCACACGAGTTACTGGAAGGTGGTGTGAGGTGGTGGCGTTAGAGCAAGCAGCCGACCAGAACGATCCAAGAGGCGTGTAAAGGCAGGTTCAATGCTGCGTGTGAGGGTGCCTGGCCAGAAGGATGTGAAACGGATCTGGGCGCTTGGCACCGGAGCTGACGTGCCCGTGTGTTTACAGCCGGGCATTTTCAGAGCCATTCCCGGGAAAACGAGGGCGGGAGTAGCTGCGGTTTGGTCGGTGTAAGCTGAGGGTCAGTTGTTGTGCCGTTGCCGTGGGAGGGGAAGGCGGCAGCGGGCGCCTTCGCAGCGGTACCGGAGCGGGCGGCACACCTGGAATCGCCCCTTGCGACCGCCGCAGCGGCGGGAGAATCTCCCCCCCCAAAGAACCGCGTTACTGAGTCCCTTCACCAGCTCCTTTTTCCCGTTGCTGCTCTGTGAGGAGGAAGGACCGTGCGGAAAGTAGAGTTCAAAGTGGATGAAAGCGGAAAACCCGTTGGTTTGTTCCTTCAGAGTAAACCCAAACAGCCGGAGCCGGTTACTGCGTCTGGCCCAGGTTGAAACCCTGCCCGGACCCCCGCCAGAGGTACCCCCCACCAGAGGTACCCCCCGCCAGAGGTACCCCCAGCAAATCAAAGATACCCCCGCCAGAGGTACCCCCATCAGAGGTACCCC